CTGTCTCTCTCTCTGTCCCCATCTGTCTCTTTCTGCCCCCTCCCCCCCTCTCTCTCTCCCTCTGTCCCCCTCTCCCCTCCTCCCACGCTTAACCACATCCACCCTTGCTCCCCTGCTCCTCCCTCCATTAGGTAGCTGGAATGTATAAATGTGTATAAATAGATGTATAAATGTGTAAATGTCTTTGCCGCTGCATCCCAACCCCTGCACAGCTGCAGAATCATGCCGCCTCTCCGTTAAAGTTACGTTAATGAGCCATAACCGCCCCCTTGCCCCCCCCCCACCTCGTCTTCCCCACTGACAGCCCTGACACCGAGGCGCGGTATAGGGGTGGGTGGGATTCAGGTCCTCGCTGTTGAATGGCAGGATGGGGGCGGTGGTCCGTCGAGCGTAACGGACCGGCGACGGCTGGCTGGCGAGCGTGAGCTTGCGCGTATGTGTGCCTCCTGTTCCGTGCCTCCTGTTCCGTGCCTCCTGTTCCGTGCCTCCTGTTCCGTGTCATGTGCTTTCAAGCAGGTGCGCCCCCTCTCATCCGGGTCTTAATGACTCTGGGCTCGTAGAACCAGTTGTGGCATAATGCAGCAGGGACCTGCTGACCTCCCAGTCCGCTGACCTGCCTGTGACCACAGACTGTTGTAACTGGTGTCTTTAATTTGCTTTGTGTGTGTATTGTGTTCAATTTTATAGAAATGTATGACTGCAATCAAAAAACTAAAAATGCCAAAAGTCTCGTATTTTGTTTGGTTGCTTATGGTTAAGGTTAGGGCTGGGTAGGGGTTTCTATAGGTTGTTTTCCCTATAGAAATGAATGGAGAGTCCCCACAAAGATTACAAACCTGTGTGTTTGTGTGTGGATGTGCACTTATGGTAGATGGATGACTTTTATATCACTGTGCAGCCTAGCCGTATAAAACAGCATTGAACTTTCGTCCTTCCCATCCAGAAAGGAGCCTGGCCAGACCATAGGAGGGAGTGTAAATGCCTCCAGAACCTGCTTCCCCACAAGAAAATCGTCACAGACTCGGTTCGCCTTGTGGCACGGATCGTCTTCAAATTGGTAAAGAAAAAATCTAATTAGAAAAACAGAGGCTGCCTACAGATTGTAATTTGCTTGCGAGTAGCGAATCAGTGGCTCTTGCTCTTCTTCCTGCAGCTGAAGCCCTCGTCCTGCCTGGGGGAGGAGCTGTATTCTTTAACAGAGCTGGAGTCGCGTGAGTTTGTCGCCCATTTATGAATCAGCCGAATTTTGGCTGTTTGTCTTTGGCGGGGTTGTGGGGGAGGGTGCGCCTATCCTGATTAGCAGGTGCGCCCCCCAGAGGCAGTGCGCATACACGTGACCACATTTGCCGGGCAATTTTCACCCCAGTTAGCCTAACTACATGCATTTGGACTGTGGGAGGAAGCCAGAGAAGTCAGTCGAAGCTCACACAGAGATGGGATTCTGTTTCCTATCCCCTCCCATGTCCTCCAGGCCATTTCTCCGACACTTACCCCTGCACACACCCACTTGATTAACTTACTCGTTCTGACTGACACATTCCCTGCCGCATTTAAGCAGGCTGAGGTAACTCTGCTGCTTATAACACCCTAACTCAACCCTTCTCGGACTGAGAGCTATCAGTCCGTCTCCCTCCTCTCATTACTCTCCAAATCTCTTGAACATGCTGTCCTCAAGCCAAATCTCTGACCTTCTTGCTAACAACCTTTTGGGCCCTCTGCGGTTTGGTTTTAGTCCTGGACACTTGACTGAAACTGGCCTCCTTGCTGTTGTGGACACAGAGCCGTAAAAGCCACATCCCAGTCTTCTGTCCTGATTCTACTAGGCCACTCTTCAGCTTTTGACATGGTTAATCACCAGCTCCTCGTGGCCACCCATTCTCATCTCGGCATTACTGGGACCACTCTGCACTGGTTTGACTCATAGCTGTCAGACAGATCATTCTAAAGTGGCTTGGGCTATTTATGTCCTTGGTGCTGGCTTAAAGGTCCATTAATGGACAGGCTCCTATATCCATTAAATTGGCTCCTCTAGACCTATGTTCCATCTCGACCCTTTCAGTCAGCAAACCAATGTCGCTTTTAGTTCCCTCCACCACATGAGAGGTGTCACTCCAGATGCTTCTCTTGTGTGGTTCCCATGTTGGTGGAATGAGCTGCCGAGTCATATCCGATTATCAGACTCCTTCCCTACCTTCAAGAAATTCCTTAAGACCCATCTGTTCCATGAATTCCTCTACTAACCCGATTGTTACTGACCCTTGCATAGTCTTAATGGGTTCTTGCTTTGTTAAGTTATGTGTAGCTGTTGTGTAGCTTTTGCTCCAATTTTCCTGTCACCCTAGGTGCACTTAGGCCTAGTTGACAACATGCTTGACAACATGAATGTCTGCAATGTGATATTTGCATCGTATCTCCAACTACCTAACCCAGCACTGCAGAGATGTGTATGTATATTGGGTTGTTTCTTTGTACTGTATCCTGTTTGCTAAGCTGTTGGTTATGCATGGCACGCCTCAGGGTCATGCGACTGGTGTGTGGTGTATTTCATGTTTATTTCACCACCATGCATCGATTCGCTGAAGGCAGTGGGGGTCAAGGTAACACCAACTTGGGTTTGCATGGCACTTGGTTATGCGGGGGGGCTGCACCCCCCCAGGGAGTATGCAGATCAGCTCTCCTTTCAGGGCATGGAAATACGAATTACAGCACATTTGACAATAATTCGTTTATCGATATTGTTATTATGTGATTGTTGTAGTCAGTGTGCCACATTGTTTTTCCTTCGTGCATGCAAAATATAATGTTTGAAATGCAGCCAAGTTTTTTTACATTTTAATGGAAGATTTTGTGTGTTATGGCAAAGAATGCTGCTAGCAGAGGCAGTTCTTTCTCTGGAAATTTACAGCATTTCCTTTGCATCTTAACACACCCATTTTCAAAAGTTCCCAGTGCTCTCCCATAAAAAGCATTAAAATAACTCCTTATCTGTCCCCGTGTAATGTGGTGTGCCAGTAACAGCACTCGACCGCGTGTTTCACAGAGCAGAATAGGGCGGATTTGAGGACCTGTTGAAGCTGCTCGGATTATGGTGGCTTTATTTGTGCATGCTGTGTACAGTTCACCTCTGTCAGGCGTAACGGGTTTTTCTGGGCAATGACGTAGCACAGAAGGTGGACGGAGGATGAGAGCTGGGAAGCTGGGGCCATATTGAAAGGGGGGGCGTCTGAGAGTCAAGCGACTGCAAAGCTTTTCCCGGGAGTCTGTAATGAATGAAACAAGAGAGTTTAATAGAAAGTCCCATGTGTGGTGATGAATCGGTTCACCTGGGCCTCAGCACCCGTGTGTGGTGATGAATCTGTACACCTGGGCCTCAGCTCAGCACCCAGCTGCCCAGCACAATCATTACAGAGCAGTTAGCTTTTCAAGGAGTCGGCCTCTCATCTGCATCTGTCACTCCCTCTCTCTCTCTCTCTCATTCACAAACACACACACACACACACACACACATTAGGTATCTATATTTTTGTGGGGACTCTCAATTCATTTCACCCTAATCCCAACCCTGACATCCTTAATATTTGGTTCCCATAATGTAATGTATACATGACCACACACCCCACCCACACACACACACACAAAATATCTATTGATTACTGGATTGCTAAAGCATTATAGTCAGCTGTACTATGTTGTCTCCAACATGAATTGATTTTGCAGTGTACAACGTAATAATGAGCATCATTGGCTGTTGGTTGCCTCCCGGTGAAGGACTAACCTGAAGATTGCTGATGAAGTCCCTGGAGATCATAACCTAAATCACTTCAGCAGAAATCACATGGGCACCATTATTGTTCAAAAGAAATTACAGACTCAATATAGGTTGCATTATATGTTCGTTAATTTTTTTTTTTTTTTTAGCTGTGCCATTTATATCTAACTGTGTTTTGTTTTTTTTTGTGCCCCTGGTCCTGCAGACGTCGCTGACATGAGTGAGCAGAAGGAGGAGGGCCTTGGGCTCCTCTCTGCCATGCTGCAGATCTATCTGAAAGAGGAAGTGATTGATTTCTCTCATATGCCGCCTGGCTTGGACCTCCCCAGCCTCTATGCCAAAGTAAGAGCCCGTTCGCCTCGGCCAATGAAATCTGAGCCCGGTCGGTCATGCACAGCATCCCTGTGGCTCTGGGCCGCTGGAGCTGCTGGGGCCGCTGGAGCTGAACCGCTGCATCTCCCCGCTGCTGTGTTTTTTGTTGCCTCTGTGCAGCTGGATTTTGTGCTTGGAAGAACCATGTTCCCAGCGGACTGGGCCATTAGTATTCATAGCTCCATGGCAGAAAACATATTTATTTGGGGGACTTTTGGGGACCTGTGTTCTCCTAAAGTACCTGCTGATTTGTTTTATGGGCCTTGAGCGATATTGAAATAAATTTAGAACACCATGCTAATTGAGCACATTTGTAAATTGAGATATTTTGGTCATTTCCCCCCCATTAATGTATATTTGTGTGTTATTTGTATTTTGGTTCCCCTGTATCCATTCCTCTGTGGCCAAATGCGATACAAATTGGACCTTCTGATCCCTGTTTCTTACTAACATGAAGCAAAGAGGCTTCACATTCTAAAATCTTATGAATTCTGAGGTTAAGTGGACTTTGTGATGTCATGTCAATAACGGGAGCCTGAATCTGTTTGTCATTGACTACTACTTTAAAATCCTAGTTTGTTTTCAGATTCAGAGGACTGCCTACAGATTCCTCTCGAAGGGATTTATAGATTATTTGGGATTGCTGATTCACCAGGTTATCTTCACATGCAGAAATTCTCCCCGTACTATGCTAATATGAACCTTTCGGTTATATGAAAGATTGATATTTTGTGGCTATTATGAAATGCCTTAGAAAATCCTGCTCGGTTAGGACAGATATAGAATACGGCAACCATGGAAAACTTTCGCTGAGTAATGGGTGATCTTTAAACCTTTCTTAGTGGGAGTCAGTGTTGAGTCAGTCACTGCCCAGATTAACCTAAAGGGAAAGAAGAGCAGCTAGTGGGATGTGGGTCGACCTGGAATGAGTCCCTGTCTTAGTGGGAGTCAGTGTTGAGTCAGTCACTGCCCAGATTAACCTAAAGGGAAAGAAGAGCAGCTAGTGGGATGTGGGTCGACCTGGAATGAGTGACTGGCAGCAGACAATAGTCCTACCTGCCATGGGTCTCTAAGCCTTGTTTGTTGGAAACTCCAATGGATCGAAGCCTGCTGGGTCCTACCCTGGCAATCTGTGCCATATCTAATGCGACTTATTGTCAGAGTTTGTGTTCGTTAGCATTTGGTCTGTGACGAGGGGGTCCGGAAAGCCCGAAACGGAGCGGCGCTCCACGGGCGGGTGGGTGGATCTTGCCGGCTGGGCTCCCCGCCCTCTCGTCGCTCCATAATGACTCATAGCATATCGGTCCCTGTTCTTTTTGGAGCGATCATGTCATGTGATGCAGGCCTGCAGCTCATGCCGGTCCTAGGGACGTGCCGCTCTTTCACCCCTTCCCAGCTGGCAGGCCTGCTCAGTCACTTCATGCTTTAATGTGATTTTCTCTCCTCCTCCCCCTGTACTTCATTGTGCCTTAATTCTGCTCTATCCCACGGGTGGGGAGGGTATGCAGAATACAACGGATTCTGCGTCGCAGTTAAATTAAGGCTTAGCTGGTGTTAAGTACCGTAGTTTTGCGATTCTGACAGATATTTCTGCCTGTATTCCCATTTCTGCATTTTAATAATGCTTAATGTTATTGAATTACATGCAATAATCCATCAAACCTAATTATTACATGCATAATTATTACAGTTTGCCATCATGGGAGAAATCCCGGCAATAATCTTCACGTTGAATTGTTCCGGAGCTAAAGTCTTTGCACAGCTGGAGCTAGCTAATGTTCATTATGCTTCCGAACTGTAATGTGTCTGTCTGTCCCAGTTTACAGTGTAGATCTATTAACGATTGGGCACTTCTCAAAAACACAGAGACACCTGCTGTATGAGTTGTAGGACAATTGTGAGAATTGAGTCCAGTTCTTGCATCTTCGACTTGGTGCTACTGGCAAGGTCATTGGTACTGTAATCTGTATTCTGTCACATGCTTTGGGGGCAGTAATCAGCAGAATTGTCCAGCCACCCTTCCTCAGCTGTTATTTTTCTCACTGGAAATGATGTCATACAGGGCAGCGAATGCTGTTTATGAAAGGGTGAGCTGCGGTTATGCGTGTTTGAGACCGAAGGCTTTTTGTTTTGTTTTGTTTTCCTGTTTTCAATGACAAAAATCGGGAGAAAATAGTAAATATTATATTAAACTACCACTTCTTGCATTGCCAGGCCTTATTACCCTTCAGAGGGACATTCCCAGTTGTCTTGCAGACTGATAGCTGGAAGATTCATTCTTTATTATTAATAGATGTCTGATAATGGCAGTGTTTTCTTGCTGAGGCTCGTAATTCCACCGATGTCTTTCAGCTGAAGTACGTTTTGTAACATGGCGATTTGACAGAATGTGTCATTAAAAAAAGAAAACAAACTGGACTGGAATGGAAACCCAAGGCATCTGCAGTGCGTTCACTGGAGCACTCAGTAACTGGCATCTGGAGTGTGTTCACTGGAGCACTCAGTAACTGGCATCTGGAGTGCGTTCACTGGAGTACTCAGTAACTGGCATCTGCAGTGCGTTCACTGGAGTACTCAGTAACTGGCCTGCGTATGATGAGATTGTTGTCAGAGGCTTTTATGTTTTTTGTTTTTGAACATCTTAAATTCGTGTTTAATGCTGAGTCTTGTTTTGAAACAGCAGTGTGGGATGTGTATAGGGAACCATTTTAAAAATTGTAATTAAACTCTGAATGAGTTCACATCAACGAACGTCTTTCCTTTGCCTTGTGTGGTCTGGATAACTCTCACAAATTAAATTATGGCTGCTGTCGTGGATGCAGTCATGATTTTATATACAAATCTAAATGGTGAAATCCTGGACCCAATTAAGCAGGACAATGAAGGGCTTTTATATGTTTTTATTATTTTTTTTATTACCCTCATTTAGTTCTTTGTATAAATGGATTCCTACCTCCACATTTTAAACGAAGGAACGTCAGTTGATTAGAGGAACTGCAGTTGTATAAATGAAAGCGGTTAAGTATATGGTCAGTTATTGTGCTAGACAGCATTGCGTTTTAGCCGGATGTGACAATGGGTCATTCTTTTGCTTACGGCAATTGGATACTGTAACGTTAAGAAAAAGTTATGGCTTCTTTCTGATGAGTGCCTCACTGCATCAATTAAAGGTTAATAAGTGTGATCCTTCACTCTCTCATTCCTCGTTAACATCCGGATCGGTGTGAGCCATGGTCTCTGGGTGAAGCCTTGGACACAGGCTAACGATCGCCGGTCGTTAAATGATACATAAATATGAGTTGAAAGCAGGCCGGCGTCTCCGGCTCGGAGCCACCGCGTCTGCTAGCCGCCGCCGCCGTAATCTCATTATGGGTGTCTGACAGTCACGCGCAGCCTGCTCGTCCGCCTGTTAGCCGCCAGCCCCCCCGCTACGCCTGCAGGGCTGTCCAGTCCAAAAAGTCCAACTTTGGGACTGACCTATTGACCCCTGTTCTTCCGTGGATGTACTTGCTGCACTGATATAGCTTAGTGCTTGGTAGCCATGTTTGCTAGCTGGTTTGTAAGTTGACTGTGGCTGGCTGACTACATATTATTGCTACCAGCTCTTTCATTTTCGTGAACTTTGTTTTCTCTGAATCATTTCTTCCCGTCCCTCTTCTTTATTTATTTTTTATCGCTGTTTTGAATGTGGGCTTCTTTAGAGAACGTGAGTGTCACGATTTTCATTGGTTTGGCTGTATGTGAGCAGAGCTCTTGAGAATCCGCTGTTTGCTGGTATATGAGATTTTCTGTAGTCTTTTCATGGGGTGAATTGTCCTACATTTGGGCTTGTGTCCCAGTTGATGACCATTTATCAGTGCTTGGGAAAACCTGGGTGCAGAATTGAAGAAGCATATTTATTGCTGGTGGGGAAAAATGAATTTGAGTGTATGGCCCATAATTCACATTCACTGCTTTCTGAATTATAATTCAAGCTTTTAGCAAAACTAGAAAATAACTGTGTGATTTTGTGCATGGAGGTTAAAAATTACAGTTAGACTGCAATTGTGACTGGAATAAATTGGAGGGGATATCTCTGCAGATTGAAATGGTGCTCCTGTATCCAGTAAGTCCAGTAAGAATTAGCCCATAAGTAATTGATTATAGCTACTCATTGTAGTTTCTGCTGATATTGTAATTTATTAAGACTGTTTTTGCTAACTGTAAATTTCATGGAGATATTGTAGCATAAACACAGAGCTGTCGATGGAATCCTCTTCAGGGTGTTGATAGCAGACCTTCCTGCGAGAGTAATCATTGCCTTTCATTACCAGGAGGAGTTCGATTTCTGCTCCCGAAAAGTAAAGAATTGACTTCACTAATTAAGTGTGTGCCCTGGGGAGGCGTGAATGCCCTGGGGCGGCGTGAACGCCCTGGGGAGGCGTGAGTTCCCTGGGACGGCGTGAATGCCCTGGGGCGGCGTGAACGCCCTGGGGAGGCGTGAGTTCCCTGGGACGGCGTGAATGCCCTGGGGCTGCCCTCTTCTCTAACTCTACACTATGTGCAGGTGGAGATGCGGGGACCTTTGTTTTTTATTTATGTATTTATTTATCTCTGTGCCGGTCAGCCCTTTCCCCTTGAAAAATGGCCAAATTACCTTCAGTTCATACTTCTACGTGGCAAAATGGATTCACGTTTGTGATCATTATGCCGTTACGATTTACCATGATTTGCCACTTTAAGTTTCTGTATTGAAATCTAAATTCAATTCTCAGTTTAGTTATTTTATAATACAGCGCAGTGTCACACACCTGGAAATTTGCCCTTCACCTACTTGAATAACCCGCCCATCCAGTTGCTATAAATCAGCTTTAACTACAAACAGGTTTATAAAAGAACATCATTAAAAATAATAATTCATTCAGCTAAAGTACATCCATTCAATTAAATGGAAAACTGTCACTTCTGCATTTTTTTCCTTCATTTTACAA